TTTTTTTTTTCCTCCTTATTTTGTGTTTCTTTCAACAGCAGCTCCGAGAATTGAACGCCCGGTAGACCGAGCCTCGGCACGGATCCACTTACCGGTCGACCGAGGCTCGGACTTGATAGCTGGGCCAAGTACTGGTGGTTTAAGCCCAACCAATTCAATTACTTGTCGAATTTGGACAGGACAACCTTTTCGACTTTTTTTATTGTCATTATAGGATTATGGGGAACCCCGTAACATCCACATCCATGCTCAAGGCTCCATTGAGGGAAAATGCGGGAGTTGCACCCATTAGGAGGTGCGATACCTGCTGCAGCAGTTAGGCGATACTGGTCAGAGGTCAGTAGGGAGCATCAGGACCGAGCTTCTTCGATGGGTCAGTCACTCTGCTTCCCCTCCGGTTCCTCCCCCTATGAACATCAACAGTCCCTGCTCAATGCCACTCGGGGGGACAACAGCATATCTCTAGGTGGGCGGCGCCAAGCGTGTCCAGGAAGGTACATGAGGCGAATGGGGATTGAACCCAAGACCTCGTGAATGCCACTTGTGTGCCTCACCAGCTGAGCTAGCCCGTTGGATTCAATGACGGTATATCAATGCGGTTGCCCTTCGATAAAAAAAAATACAAATATAAAAGAAAAGGACGAAAGCGGGATACAACAAAGAGGGTCCAAAGCCAAGTCTCACTTACACCATTGCGTTGAACTACCTTCTGACCCAAAAAAACACGTACACACGTTCTATTCGAATTATATTTTGAAAATCTGACTTTCAAAAATCGCTCAATTGTTTTTTCAAATAACGTACGGTCAAATACAATGTACGTACGCTGTATTCGAATACATCGTACGTATGCTGTATTCGAATTTTTTCAATTTTGGTTTTTTTTTTTAATTCAAAAAACAAAATGTACAACAATGCAATACAATGAACTTTTGTTCAAGGGTCTTATCAAAATTAACAACCAAATTCGAGAAAAAAATAAAAACAAGAATAAAAATAGTTTTACGCTATGAACATTTTATTTATTATTTTTTTCATATTTTTTACTTTTAAAAACCATTAAAAAAAAAATATTGAATAAAATTTCAATGCAAACAAACTTTTGTTTGAGATCTTGGTAAAATTTTCAACCAAATTCGAGATTAAAAAAAAAACAATCGCAGTACTAAAGGCTTCTTGAAAGTTGTGACACGAAACTCGTTATATAACATCCGTACGGTGTATTCGTATACAACGCACATACATTTTTTTCGGGGTAAGAAGGTAGCTCAACTATGTGACACATTTTTTTGTTAATTGGAAATTCAAAACAAATGGAAAAAAAAAAGAATAAAATGCTGACGATTTTTTTTTTGTATATTTTCAAATAATTAAATGAAGAACCAAATGCTATTAAAAGTTTTTGTCCGTATTTAAAAATAAATAAAATAGAGAAATAAAGCAACCCTCCGTGAAATGCTTCTCACACAAGGCGAAGTCGAAGACAGGGACCTAAGTAGAACGAAAAACGAACGTTGTCAGCATGGTGCATTCACAACCCAAATAGAGGAAACGAATTTAAGGTTGAATGACAAAAAACAGCATGAAGACTCTTTGTCAGTGTCCTCTATGACTCTCAGAGTGTTTTTGCTACAAAGAGGTAATGACGGCACAAGCATCGTTAGTTAGATGACTACTTCACTACAGGTCAACTAGCTCAACGCCCAAGTGAGGTCCACTGTCTCTGTCTTCACCTCTCAAAACTATCTTAATTTCTTTATTTTACGATTTTT